ATATATATATATAAAACAATACTAATTTATTTATCTTTTCTAAGTTATTTTTAAGTTATTGTTACATTATGTTATGTAAGTTAAGTTTTAGTATAATTTCCCTTCTCCCTCTCTTCCACAGTTTACACCTCTACCGTCGTCTATCCTCAAAGGTAAAGGGAAAATAAAACTACATAATTGTATACTTGCTTACTGGAGAATTCAACTTAAAAATAAAAACCATTTAACTATCCAGCAAAATTTTTTAATAACATAAAAACGTTTTCAAACGCATTGAGCGTTCATCCTCAGTTATTTTTCTAATTCGAAACGGGAAATTTGAAAAATTACGCAATCGAATTTCAAATAAATGGTTATGTAAAAAACGTTTATAACATGTTACCTTTTAATTTTTTACATAACCGTTTATTTGAAATTCGATTACGTAATTTTTTGGATTTTCCGTTTCGAATTAGAGAAATAACTGATGATGAACGCTCAATGCGTTTGAAAACGTTTTTATATTATTAAAGAATTTTGCTGGATAGTTAAATGGTTTTTTTATTTTTAAAAATAAAACTACATGTTTTGTAATCAATTATTATTCTGTTATGGTTATAATTACGAATAAATTGTAGTTGTAAATGTAGTTGTAAAATACATTTACAACTACAAATGCATTTTTCAGTGTTTTCCTTACTATAGTTATTTTTTTAATGTACTACTTAGCTTTAATTTGAGTGTGTTTTTCGTGTTGGAATGAATTAATTTGGTTTTACATGTAATCGTATGGGGAAAAATGATTCACCTTACGATATTTTCAAGATACAATCTCAGTTTTGAAACGGATTAATTTCGTATCCTGAGGTACCACTGTATATTAATACAAAATATACTATAAATAATATAAACAAATATGGCGATCAAATTAATTTGAATAAAGTAATCAAGTTAATTAGTCAGTCATAAATAATAACCAAATAAATTTATATGCATAATATTGAATAAATATCTATTGATATTCCCTTCAATATTATGCATATGAACTCTAATATTAATATTAACTTAATTCTAAGAAGAAAAGTAATTATTTTACTGATTTATTTATCAATATTTCTATAAATAAATTATAAATATGTAATGGACCAAATATCAGTAAACTGAAATAAACTGAAATATATAATAAGTTATTTTAAGAACAGTTAAGATAGGTTTTGAACAGCTTCATGTTATTTGTAATTGAATTGTTTCAAAGGAAACAACTAAATCATAGCAATTCCAAATTAATTTTAAAGATTATTGAAATTATTTTAAAATATATCTCAATTAACTGATGTTTGGGCCACTCAATAGATTGTATTTTACAAATTATCATAAACTGAATTATCATAAAATTCAAACTGGAAATGCTCAAAATTGTAGACAGCCTTTTTTCTTTTATAAATTTTATTTTTGGAACTAAATGTTCCAAAATTAGAATGCAATTATACATTTTGATAAACCTAGGCTTGTATATTTGCCTGAAAACACTTGTCTAAGCATTAAATATAGAAACTGGAAGAAAAAAGTTGACTTATTGATAAATTCTTTATTATATTGCTGTTTATTTTAGTAATGTTACATATTTTATCTTTATTGGTGCTTACCTCAAGTTCATTTTGTGCATTGTTTCTTCTCATTTTTTCATAATTAATAGATTTTGCTATTATTTTATAGAAAATTGTCTATGCAATTCATTTTTATTTGATAATATATTTAATTTAAATGCACTTCAATTTTAAATTATCGAAGTGCTAAGTTTATTTATTTTCATTCATATTTTGTTTTCTTTAAACTTTCATTTGTGTTAAAATATGTAATATCACTTATAACATTTATAATGTATAAATTAAAATTATTTTATATTTCAGTACTGTTGTGCCATGCGATAACAGCAATGTTTCAGTTTTTTTGAATATTAAATCAACACCTTGTAATTTAAATGAGTGTGGAAAACATGGAAATTGTCACATTTACAGCAGTGGAGGTTTGATATATAGTTCCTGTCATTGTGTCGCAGGTATTTATGAATTCACTAGCATATTATACTATAAAATTTCAGCAGAAAAAGCATTTAATCACAAATGTTTTCAATCTTGTTTAAAGGCCATCTTCAAGGTACATACTGTAGATTCAAATTACTGAATGGCTTAATGGCTTTCAGTAGAACATGTTATAGAATTCACAACTAATCAAAAGTTACATCTAAATATATATAACTCAAAGGTGACTGACTGACATAGTGATCTATCAACGCACAGCCCAAACCACTGGACGGATCGGGCTGAAATTTGGCATGCAGGTAGATGTTATGACGTAGGCATCCACTAAGAAAGGATTTTGATCAATTTTACCCCCAAGGGGATAAAATAGGGGATGAAAGTTTGTATGAAACTTTGTCAATTTTAAACCGATCGGGCTGAGACTTTGCATGCATAAAGCTACTATGACGTAGGCATCCCCTAAGAAAGGATTTTGATAAATTCCACCCCTAAGGGGATAAAATAGGGGATGAAAGTTTGTATAAATCTTCTTAGATTTTCGACTGATTGAACTGAAATTAAAGATTGGAGCTACTATGATGAAGACGTCCGCTTAAATAGGATTTTGATAAATTCAACCCCCATGGGGATAAAATAAGGGATGATGGAGGATGTAAATGTATTAGTTTGAACCTATCAGTACCTAATGGAACGAATAAATTAAGACGAACAAAATAATTTTTAGTTCTAAATGTTGACAATAGATGGCGTTAGTAGTATTTTAAAACGCGCTATCGTTGTGTTTTCACTGAGTTACATATACCCGATGATGAGTGGCCGCCGTATCTAATAGTACATACTATACCTAAATATTTCTAGCGGATTATATTTGACGATTTTGGCTGTTCTTTTCTTGGCATATTTTGGATTGCATTTGCTTTGTTTCGGTTTAGTAGTTTTGGTTATAGACTCTGCTTTGTATTTGGCATTTGTTTTGTTTTCGTTTGGTTTAAGTATAGGTTTTGTCGGTTAGACTTTTTTAAAATGGCTAAAGAAAATCTGAACGTTAATGGAGAAGTTAAAGAATGTTCTCTCATGGACAGTTTTATGTTGCTTGCTCACAAGTAAGTTCACCCAATAGCTTGATAGTTTTAGCGCCTAATGACAGATTAGTTAAGAATATTGTGTACAAAGAAGTTTTATAGGCCCTAATTTTTTACACACGCTAAACAAAAGTAAAGCCGCAAAAACTATACCTAATTAATAATAATACTTCTTAACGCGAGCGAAGCCGCGGACAAAAGCTAGTTGTTCCATAAGTAGAACATTTAAAATGTACATCATTTAGAAAATATTCAATAAGTTTATTTTTGTATTTATATGTATTTATTTATTTGTGGAACATTGTAACTTTTGACTGGATTCAAATTCTTTATTTTCTAATGAAACTATTAAGCAGTTTGTTAATTTGAATCTACAGTATGTAGCCTGAAATGGCCTTTAAACAAGATTGAAAGTATTTGCAATTAAATGTTTTTTCTGCTGGAATTTTCTGTTTTTTTTATTTATTTTTTTTTATTATGCTGGAATTTTAGTATGCTAGTGAACTAGTGAATTTAGAACTATCCAGTTTACAATATTATGTGGTATTTATGAAAATAAATAATGAACAATGAATAAATATTTACAAAATTAGAGAATAAAATATTTAATGTAATTGTAAAGTTTTTTTAATTTTTTTTCTTTTAGGTTGGAGAGGTTGGGGCTGTACAGATGGTACAAAAGCATTTTCTAATGCTGATCTTCTTGTTTCTGTACTACTGCTTACATTGAGCAACATTTTCTTTTTACCTGTCATCGTTTTAGCTCTTTATCGTCATTATTTTACAGAAGCTTCCATTTATGCAACAAGCATGTTGTTTTCTACTGTAAGTTAAAAACTTGTATATAAATTTTAAAGTAAAATCAGAAATGTTTTTATTTTGTATAGTGTGAATATTTCTTAATTGTATACTTATTTAGCATAATTATATTTTTAATTATAAATTTGGAATATTTTATTATGTGAATCAATTAGCTAACATATCATAGACAAAAATAGTTGATAGTACTTAAATATTTACAAGAAGTATTAACTTCAATACTTTTAATTTGGGTATTAAAACAATATATTTCATACCTGTCATTCAGTGGCGTGTCGTGACATTTGATGAGAGGGAAGCTGTGTTTCTGTAAGAAGCCAACTTCCAGGGGCAATCAGTTAATTCTTTAAATGTATTTGTAATAGATTATTTATCTGATGTACTTAATAAATAAACAAGTTCAATATAATTACCTCTGCTATTAGATTCAATAGATTCCCTATGCCCTCTAAATGCCAATTCTTGCTTTGATAAAAACATATAAGATCTATTCATTATATCTATGTNGTTAACAGTGTGACATGTTAATACGCATTTAAATGAGAAAGTTTAATTTAACCAATTACATATTGTGTACATCGAATTCCAAACAAAACCATCTCTACGCCAATCTCTCTTTCTCGTAACAAAACACGGAAAAATATTCTAATCGCGTTCAATTGGATTCTCCCAGGTTTTGCAAATCTCCGTGTTTCGAGATCCCCGAATCCCCCGAAAAGTGAAAAATTCCACGTACGTGTATAGACGTCTCCCCCGTTGAATATCTGGTAATAGGTAAAGATTAAGAAACGAAATTCTACACGGTAACTTTATTGAAGCGTTTATATTTAACTTAGGCATTGGCCGTTCTCTTTTAATAATGTTTTCTTTTTCATTATGTGATCTTGAGCCAAAACTTTTTAAAAATAAATTTTCAATATCGCAATTACATTCTGAATTGCTAGCCATGATATGAGGGCTAAAATTAAAAATAAAATTATAAAAACTTACTTGATGAAATAAAATGTGTGGTGGATATACATACCTGGTACAAAACATTCTTCAATTGTATGAATATACTTTTAAAGAAAATTATAATTAAATATAGCTTTGTAAAGAAACATACATAAAAATAACATAACATATTCTTTACTTTTTAAATCTTAACCACTTAGTCAAATAGCTCCCTACAAGTGGAATCAGAGACAGTTCTGCTATGTGTGCGGTGTGTGCATGCACGCAGGCTGCCAAATCCCGAGGGTGCCAATTCCAGTTAATGTCAATGCCTCTTTTGTTGCATCACTAGTATATCTCAAAGGACGCAACAGGGTTGTTGTAAATTTTAAACGTTTCTCACCATAGCCGTAAAAATCTAAATATGTTAAACTTAATAGTCATTTGTTTTCTAACTAATTCGTTTTAGGACCATGTGTCCACGGAAATTTCCAAAATTTACAACTTTTCGGTCACTCTCGTTGAACTGGAAAAGTTTCTGTTTATATTACATCTAATATTATGAAGAAATCAGTCCCACTGTACTCGGCTAGAGATTGGGACAGTTAAGCTTTTAAGTAATATTCCGGCTCTTTCAGCAAGGTTTTATTTATGTCCCCAATTCCCTAATCTCTTAATTATTTAACTACTTAAGTAGAAATAAGTCGAAAATGGTTACTTTGTACTCGAATATTTGTAGTCTCAGGAAAAAAGTGGAAAGACAAATTTTTATGACAATGGATACATAAATTGTTAATTTAAGGAAAATAAATTCTAGAGCTTTTTCTGTACCTGGTGCATCTCTCTCATTCATTAAATTTAGTTGTAAATGATGCTACAAAGTAACAGTTCATTTTTTAACATTGTACAAGAATTGTACACATTTTTTTCTACATCCCCTTAAAGATGGGACATACGAAATCATAATATCACTGGTTTAACATTGAAATCTGTAAGTAATATAAGATGGGAGAGCGGAATAAAAATATCAAATATTTTAATGGATTTTATTAACTCCTGTCAACTATACAGAACTATCATAAAAACATACCAGTAAATTCTTATCGGTTATATGTTATAAATCTACTCATGATTCACATAATCGGGTGAGGGTAGCCAAATATCTAGCGGGCAGGTGGCTAACAGCCCAGAACCAGTCCTGGATAGAGTTGGATGTGATATACATGTAGTATTCACCCAAGGTCCTAGGCTTCCACCAGCTAAACCGGGTGAGGTTGGTGCTCTGTAAAGCGCATGTGCGAATCTGGCTTTCTGGATGCTGACAATACAGCGCTTCCACTCCGCCACTAATATTCAAATATACAATAGCAATCTTATTTTTTTTTCACATGTAGTATAGAAATTTGTAATAAGATACATAATGTGGTTATAATAAAATATTGTGCAATTATTTTCATATAATTAAAATTAATATGTATTTATTTTTTAGAAAATACAAGGGAAGTGGCACATCCACTGCTTCCAATGACGGCACGCCACTGCTGTCATTAATCCTTTTATATAAGTTTATTTAATTATATCATATTCACTTTTCCTGCTATTACAGAACAGAGGAAAAGTGTTATAATTGGTCAAAGTTTGACACTGTAGTTTTTTGCATTTCCCAGTGTTTTAAGGTCACTGATTACAAAGACATCAAAAAAAAAAAGGAAACAATTTTGTATGTATTTAGGTGTGTATGAACTACATTTTGCTTTATGTCTCAGGATCCTATAGACCAAAAATTTTGAAATTTGGCAGAAATATTTATATACTTATATATATAATTTGGGCATTGGTACTATTACTTCTTGAAGATTGTAAGTCAAGAGAGAGGAGAGATTGAAGGGATAGGAAGCCATATCTTTAATAGAGTCAGACTTAATGACAATTTTACACATTATTGGCATTTCAAATTTAAAAAAAAACTAAAAAAAACCCAGCTAAAAAAAATAAGATTTTTGCTTTTTATAATAATTAGTAATATAAAAAATCAATTATATAATAGTTTATTTCATCAATTATTAGTTAAGTTTATCTTACTTTAAATTATGATTATTATAATCATACTTCATTCAAGAGCCTAATTTTATATGAATTTATATTACAGTAGAGCGTCGTTTATCCAAAAGTCAGTTACCGAAACGTCAGTTATCCAAAAGAATTCCAGTCAGTAAATTTAAATTTTCGCAAGTGCTGTGGCACTGCAATCTTTGGTTATATCTTGGGCTACTTCAATATTTTTTTGTTGATGTGTGTGTTTTAGCTGGCAGCACTGGCACTTTTGTGTGGTGTTTTTCTAAGGACTCTGTGTCGTGCTTAATCGAACATTTTTGATACTAGATCAACTTCTAAAGTATACATTTTTTGTTTTTATATTTTTCAATATATTTATTTTGTTCGTAAAAAATAAAGAAATAATTTTTAACGATACAATAGCCACGATTATTATTTTAAAAAGTTTACATTAGGCTTAACATTGACAAAAATTCAACGCGAAGCAACATGCAATGGATAAAAATTTCAACATGGGATAGGTTAATATATTTTTTTCGTACTTAATCGGTTATCCGAAAAGTAAGTTATCTGAACAATCTGAGTCCCCAATTGATTCGGATAAATGACTCTCTACTGCATTTCTAGACATTACAAGTTGTTATAATAACTATGTGAAAAGTGTGACTCACGTTAACCAATCAACTGATGAGAATACAATTAACATTTGTGAATGTTTTTGTAATCCATTCTTGGCTCCTCTTTGGGCTTTTTTTTCATTCAAAACAAGCTGGCAGAACAAATAGTTATGAAAATGTTCGCAAATGTTAATTGTTTTCACAATGGTTAATTGGTTAGTCACACTTTTTATATTTATCTTGGTGTATTGTTGTGCAGTTTAAATAACTATGTATAATATATTTTTATACAATTTGGAAATATTAATGGATGGTCACATGGCTGAGGAACCAAGGTGCATATTTATTCCTTTGAGGGATTTGAATATGAATATAATTTGATCTTTGGAATTTTTCATCGGTGGTTTGGTCCAGATATGTTGGGCTCTGTTCCTCATCATTTGGTCATTCCATTGTGAATACAAAAGGTTATAGAGCAGACAGGGTTAAAAAATTTCATAGTAGATAAATTTATTGAATAAATTTATTAGTTCTAAGTTATTTCATAGCAAAATAAAATTGAAATACTTTATATACAAATTATTGATTTTTTTTAGTTTGTAATTTTAGGATTAGTCTAAACTGAAAATTTTACAAATAGCTGTAATAATGATTTTTTAAATTAATAACAGAAAAATGTAACCATAAGTGTAGAGACATTAACCCTGAAATTCCAAGTATGTCAATATATACTTTTCTGATTAATACTATCTGGCACTCGTGGTACTAACTCTTAGCTGTTCATCATGCTGATAAGAGTTGTGATCACCAATATCAGATAATTTAACTGGAAAAGCATCAGGGTGAATATAGACTTCTAGAATTTCAATCTCTGATCTAACAACAAAAAAATTGCATTTTTTTGTTGTTATTTCAATATTTGAGATTTAAATTTATAATTGGATTTTTCAGGTAAAATTCTAATTTATTTTAATTACAAATTTTATTTTATCTTAAAATTTGATTAAAAATTTAAAATAAATTTTATTTTTTTTTCCATTATAGTTTTATCATGCTTGTGATTCAGAAATATATTCCTTTTGTCTCATGAGGCTCAGTGTATTACAGTTTTGTGACTTTTATTCAGCCATACTCTCCATATGGGTGACCTTAATTGCTATGGCAAAACTCTCTCCCACTCTACAGTCTCTCTGTCATATGCTTGGAGCTGTTGGTTTAGCATTAGGTGTTGAATACGATCGAACAGGTCTTCTAGTATTTATTATACCTGCTGGAACAGGATTAGTAATTATTATTATATCATGGGTAAGTGTTATTATTGTTATTGTGTTTAATTTTAAATTAAAATGAACTTTTAGGTAACTTATTTATTAAATTTATTTTGTTAATTAATATTAATTCATAATAAGTGAGATGAAACCTTTCACACTTTCACACAAGTATGAAAAGTTTTGTCTTACTTATTTTAAGTAGTTCTAGCTTTGAATGCATAGAAGTATAAAATATTAATTCAACTGATATATATACTGTTTATGTAATTTTATTGTTTTATTTTTTATTACAGATATGGCAATGTCACCAGCAACATGCCTGTTATCCAAGAAAACGAATATGGTTTTTATGTTTGCTTCCAGGAATTTTATTGGCTATATCCGGTTTAATAATGTTTGCATTTTTTGAGACTGAAGAAAATTACGCTTATGTCCACAGTGCTTGGCATGCTACCATGGCACTTTCTGCCCTCTTCCTCTTACCGGAACGACGTAATCATAAAGGTAGGGAAGAGGCTATTAACACCTGTAGCTATGTTCGTGTGGAAGAATTAAGTGACATAAGTCCAACACAAGAATATGGAGTATATGAACATCTTCTTCCTCCATCACCATAGTTGTATTTTAGATTTATTTTACAAATTAATATATATAAAAATATATTTATATATTATTTTTTAAGAATTAAAATATAATTCTTAAAAATATGATTATAATA